AAAATAATCAATCTCTCATATGAAATTGTCCATTTTCAACAGAAACGTATTGATTTTCGACGGCCAAAATATGATTTTCGAGTGCCAATCGTCGATCCGTCGAGTCGCGATCTCCGATCCGTCTGGTCGATTCGACGGCCGATCACCGACCCGTCGAATCGCGATCGCCCATCCGTCTAATCGACTTGACGGCCGATCACCGACCCGCCGAATCGCGATCACTGATAAGTCGAATCGATTCGACGGCCAATCGCCGACCCGTCGAATGACGATCGCTGATTCGTCGAATCGATTCGACGGTTGTAAATCATATTTTGCTTATTCCTACCTTTTGTTATTTATCAGGAGAGAAGGAAATATGTAAAATGAGTATGTTTGATAAAAGGATGGAGTAAGCAAAATATGTGGATTACGAATCCAGTTATTTTATTTACCCCATCTACCGAATGTACTCACAAGAAGTGTGTTGGAACCCAAAAGAAATAAAATATTTTATTATGAATGGAGGTAATAAAACCCGATAAACGAAGTCAAATTCAGGTAAAAACATAACATATTAGAACATATAAACATCTGCAATAATAGAACAGAAACGAGTGGAGAATAAAGGCGATCCGTGAGAGAAGAACATCACGGAAAATCATGAAAACGGACTTCGCGACGAGAACAACGAAAGTTACACAAGTAACAACAACAATAGCCATGAGAAATTGGAGATATACATTCCAGTTCGAATATCAAATACAGATAAAATATAATGAAAAAACAATTCCTTTTCAAATGATACGAATGAATAATAATATCAGTGGTCAAAAATAATCCACGAAATCTACCACCAACCGCAAGTAATCAAATTCAACAAGAATGTTTCATTATTGCTGGTCTTAATGTCGAGCTGATGTTGAAACGAATAACTGAATTTATCAACCAATAAACAAATTTATAATTCTTCATAAGTGGCATCACCTCTGTTGTAAGAGACTATGTTTTGAATAACAAAGAAAAGGAATATGGCTAATATAACCAAACATCCAATCGTTGTAAAGCTTTTCGATGCTTCAGATGATGTTCTCGAAGGCACTGAACAATCGTCACTTCCTTCACAATAAGCCTTCGAGTGTGCGCTACCAGTATATAAAGTGTGCGTGCGTATGCCACTTCTAACGGTCAATGGTGAAGGTGAAACGAGTTGCTGAACTTCTTGCCACGATAGCTGACGCGAACTTTCCTCACCGCACACTTCGGATGACTCACTAGATGACGAATGTTCACGGTAAGGGACTAGTTGTGGTGGTGGTGGTGATGGCAGTCCTTCGCTGTCCTGCAATTTAGTAGCGATTACGATTACTCTGTGATGTTAGCTAGGAAACATGAACCCACAAGTAAAATCCTCACTTTAAATCCTCATCACACCATAAAGTTCGATAACTCAACAACAAACAATAATAATAACCTCGAAAATTGTTGGTTTAAGTGCTTCACTGTGTAAAATTTGTTGCTGAGAAGTGTGCTGATTACGAGAATAATTCAGATCACTTTGTTGTGCTGGCTGATTCTCATTCAAAAACACCTGATCAACTGAAGCTTTGCCGGACGTATCATCTACTGGAGGAGTGC